GTGATTGATTGCTTCTGTGGACAGGTCTCTTTTATACAGGTAACAAGCTGAGAGGGCTCCCAATGTCAGCTCGTTACCTGTATAAAACACACCTGGGAGCCAGAGATCTTGCTGATTGATAGGGGATCAAATACTTATTTCATTCATGAAAATGCAAATTAATGTATAACTTTTTTTGTAATGCATTTTTCTGGATTTTTTTTGTTTTGTTATTGTGTCTCTCACTGTTCACATAAACCTACCATTGACATTGTAGACTGATCATTTCTTTGTTAGTGGGCAAACTTACAAAATTAGCTGGGGTTCAAATAATTTTTTTCCCTCACTGCATCTTCAGTGTTATCTAGGCTCCCTGAAAAAGGTTTGCACTGTACTTTAGAGGGGGTCCCAGCTGACATTAGACAAGAGGGGGGGGGCTTATTACAGGGCTGACATGTAGACAAACAACCACTCACTCCTACAGGTAATTTAGAGTTGCCAATCAACCTAAGCTGCATGTCTTTGGGAGGAAGCCCGAGTACCCGGAGAGAACTAGTGCAGGAACATACAAATCCAGGTTGGCCTGGGCTTGAACCTGGACCCTTCTTGCTGTGAGGTGACAGCGCTAACCACCATGCCGCACCGTCATGTGACAAACAACCAGAAAATATAAGGCCATTCTAGAAGAGCAGCTTAAAAGTGTTTTCATTAACATCAGGACTAAGTCAAGCACTTTCTATGGATTCCCCAGTTACCAGGTGGAAACATTACACAGAGTTGCTTCTACACAGAAATACTAGGACATACAAACACCTCATTTTTTTAAGCTTTAGGTCATGGCTAACATAATAAATCACCGTTGTAACATTGTAGACAAGTCAAAAAACAAGGAAAGGCACGCCATGGGCCCTTTAATGTTTACAGTAAAAGAAAGTTGTCCAGTAGGTTAAATGAATGTCAAAGCTCACTCATCATAGCAACCACCGTACATCCTGAAACTGGCCTGCATCTTCAGCACTGTCTAGACCAGCAGCTGCATATATGTAAAGTATGTGCATAGTATAACTGTAGGATAACCTTTCAGTCATTTTGACAAGAGCCTCTTAGTATTATTTATTAATACAGAGAGCTTCTGTCATGTGTTTTTGCAAGCAGCTCCTGATGGTGCTTTCAAGTGATTCTTCTCAGCTCATACTAATGTGTTTAAGATTCATGCTCATAAACTGTCATGCATTCAAATGCTTTTTTTATTTTAATACTAATAAAAATGTTATTCTAAAGATTCAGAATCAACTTTACTGGTTTCAGTTTGAGCACCAGATATTAAGAAGCATGCATCAGGAGTTCCAGTGTGTTTAGAATGTACAACTATTAAAACCAAGAATCGCGTATAAAATGACATAAGACTGACAAAAAATATCACTTTTTATGACTGTGCATGTTCACTCTCAGATGTTTGTGCTTCGTACCCTCTACTGCAGTCGTTGCTGTGTGCACTATAAATACAATCATAGGCCGTGGTGCCTGTAGCTGTAATCCTATATACACACACCACTCGTACATTTATTTTTTAGGATTTTGCTCGAGTTTGACGCCACTGCCTCTAGCAGTCATTGTACAATCAACATAAAGCATATGAATAGAGACAGACTACAGTTTCAAATGTATGGACCAGGGAGCTATATGATATATCACACACTCCTACAGCGGATCACATCATTTCTACTCCCTAACATGAGCCTTAGCCCTACACAGCTTGGAGTGAGTGACAGCAGCCACACGCTGACTTCACCTGCTGTCAACAATGCTTATAATATCATAGGGACATGTGTGGGGTATTTTATATTCATCATGGCTCATGAGCTGCATCCATATGTTATTTTGTAAGCGAATATTTAAGCCAGTCACTGTGCATGGATTTAAGTGGCTGAGCAGTGATTCTTAAGGACCGGCTGGAGTGAACCTCTTAAGCACAAAGCTGGTCACTGTGTGAAAAGCTGATGGGGTGGTGGGGGTGGTGGGGTGTTGATGAGAGAGAGGCTGCTGAACTGAATGAGCTATGGAGGTGCTGCTCAGATGTGCACTGCTGTCACTCACTTAGGAACACATTATATTCAGAGGTGTTCCTAATATTCTGACCCTCTCATGTATGTAGCTCGGCAGGACAAAAATATAGACACACCTCTGATAGGGGTCATGGTTCAGCTTTTAAAGCAAGAGATTAAGCTGTAAATAATAAAGTGCTCTTTATCTTAACTGTAGAAATTACAAAACAGGAAACTACACACTGGGCCAAAGCAAAACCAACGGTTGACATACAGTAACCTGCATGCGCATGTGAGTAATCTTCAAGCATGAACATGGATGGCATAAAAATGAACTTATCAGACTTCACACAGACAACACACACAAGGTTCATGCGCCACAGTAGGTCTGAACAAGTGTGGGCTGGCACTTCCGCTTTTGTTATTCAGGCTCTCATGCAGTAGATAAAATGTACTATTGCGTTTAGCAGTTTTGTGTACTGTATGTATGTGTGTCTGTGTGAGATAGTGAGATACACTGATAAGAAACAATTACTCATTTGTGGCTGTGTGGAACAACGTATGCACCAGGGTCCATAGTCTGCACTTTGAGGCAATGTCAAGAGACTAAAGAGAAAACATGAACATTTTGGGGTTCCTGTGATGTTTATTACAAAATGGGACTTTTTAAAAAAGCAAATAAAGAAATATTTTGTTAGGTCAGTGTCTACACTGCTCATGACTTACAGTTTTGGAAATCAGAGTGCAGTAATTTTCCAGTTTAATACTGAACAATTCACTTACCAGCATGACAACACACCAGTTGAGGATTCCTCTGTAGTTGCTGTAGCCGCTGGCTGAGCTCAACAGAGACTCCTGGAGGACATGACAGCTACAAGAAAACAGAGTCAACAATTTTACTTATTTCAGGCAGCTTTTTAATCACCCATCCTGCCTTTTTTTTTATAGCGATGGGCTTAAATTAAATCACTGGGAAAACATCTCCTGGCCAAACCTCACTGGACTGCTTGTTGAAATTTAACATGGCCAGAAATGTTATGAAGTGACAGGTTTGTATTTGATTTGGCAGAGACTGTATGATCCAATTCTTACACACCATTCATAGCTCATTGTGAGTCAACTGATGAATAATCCACAAATGACTGGGTGGAGCAACAACATTCTTGCATGCACCAGGCAAGGAAAGGAAAATGTTCTGAAAATTGATGTTAAAGCTGCTGACCCAATTGTCCAAAGAGTACTGTGAAAATTGACAAGTTTGTTCAACTATCAAGGTGTAACATGACATTTATCTTGTTTCACATACAACTCAAGTATGTAACATTGAATGTGATGTAATAGTAGCCAGAACATTAGTACTATATCAGTATTACTAGGAAAAGTATTAAAGAGTGATGAAGTCACAGGAGTGGCTTGGATGAAGCAAGGAAGAGGAGGTGCATTTAAATAGAGGAAAGAGCAGAGTGGTTCTTCAGTCCCATTACACACATAGAAAAATCTGACTAGCAGACGAACGTGCAGACAGAGAAGTAGTCAGCAAACACAGTATTGCAAAAGCACACTGTCGTTTCATAGTTGTAATACAGGAAGGTGACAGTACACACATTGGCCACCTCCTCTAGTTGGAAAGACGCCAGTGAAACTACTGTAATCATTTTATTTCAGCATTCTAGTTGCACTGTCACGTGCACACAGGATGGTGGACTTTACATCTTGATGTCCAAAAGCCAGGGGAATCCTAGTCAGGCTCTTGGCATCTTACTACCATAAACAGGTGGCTTCACCTCTATAGAAGTCAAGACAGAATGAGAAGTGGGTGTGTAACCATAAAATTTGTGGTTATGTTTAAGGCTATTGGGTCAAATTCTTGATTTAATTCAATTAGTATAAATTAGGGTGAGCTGACGTACTTTATCCGTTAATCTGCTAATTATTTTGTCTATTTGACTGAATGTTTGGTTTACAAAGGTCAGAGAATAGTGGACTATAAGCATCACAGTGTCCTACAATACTAGATGACATCCTGTAATTGTCAGTTTAATCCACACCAAAGGTCCAAAAACAAGTATATTCAAATTATGATTCTATAAACAAAAAAGCAGCAAAAGCAATCAAAGTAGTTATTAACTAAGAGTTTAAAATAAAATTATATTCCTATTCATTTTAAGTCTAGCACAGCCAGGGAGCAACATCTTTACATCACAGTGTTACGATAAAACATTACATTTCTATTTACCTTTCTTCTATTAGTGCTAAATCAAAGAGCACATTATATTGGGTCTGCATAAGAAAAAAACCCACTGTGACTTGTCAAATCTGGACTACATTAACCCAGAGAAGCTAAGGGTTGCTTAAAGCGCAGTTTCAAATTTGTGAAACCTGCTAATTGGACGCTATCTTGAATTAAACCAGGGTTACCTGAGTTTCTCGTTGATGTCCTCCACTGCGCTCCTCTGTTTCTTCGGGCTGCGTCTGAGCTGCGGCTGGC